TTGACCTGGAATCAACCTTCCAGATGAGTGCTTGGAAGTCAGAGAGAGCAGGGAACAGCCTCACATTTACCTATTTTCAAGGTGTCATGTGTTCAGATGAATCCCTAAAGAGAGAGATTTCAAACCAGGTTTCAAAACTGTTCTGCTGTGTATGGTTGGATGCACTGTTTTATCAATGTCAAGACAAAGTTTCCTTGGAGAGCAGTCTATTTGCCAAATTATTGATGTTGCTGACCTTCATTTTTCAAACAACAAAAAATGGAGTTGGGCCAAGCAATGCTGATATTGTTAGGTCCCATGAGTTAGTCAATTCATTGCTGAAGTTGTATATTAGGAAATGGGAAAAATTAATCTTACATATTTGGCTGCTTTCCTATCTATCCATAAATAATATAATTAACAGTGTTCAATAATACTTGATTTTATATATATATATATATATATATATATATATATATATATATATATATATATATATATATAATATACTAGTGAAGAATTAAATAGTAGCTCCCAGATCCATAACAGGCCAGTGATGCCAGAGGAAGAGAAAGAATAAAAAGTGTATCATTGTTCCCCTGTTCCAACTTAGGAACTGCATTTAAGAGAGGTGATAAGCCACCTGGGAAAGCCAAGGGAAATCATCAAAATAATTAAAAAATGAAAATTAGAATTATTTTGGACATGAGATGCGACACCCAGAAAAATACGGCATACTCCATTTAATCCTCCAGGGAAAGATTAAAGGCAAACGAGGTCCAGGCAGAAGAAGAACATTGTGGCTTCAAAATCTAAGGGACTGGTTTGGACAAAACTTAGCAGCACTTTTTCGTGCAGCTACTGATAAAAAGAGGATCGCCAACATGATCGCCAACGTCCGATAATGGATATGGCACAAGAGAAGAAGATTTAAGAGAAACAGAGAAGATAATCCTTTAATTATGTGAAAGGCTTTTCAAAGTATCTCTTCTTTGTTACAAAAGCCCTAGAGGAATATGAGGGATTTAAGTGGGACATCTATGTACTTGGTAATAAAAATATTCCATAGATGTCAGTGACACAAAATGTTTTGCTTGAGTAAAATCCAGAGGAGATTTACTGGATCCCCTTAATTTGTTGTTCTACTCAAGAATTGTAGATAGGAATCCATTTCCCATTCTTATTACTTATACCTTTTCCTATAGTCGTCAGTTTTCTGTTTAGCTCAATAACCATGCAATCTGTGCTCAATAATGCATCAGTAGACTTGGAGATCTAAAGCATTGCTGACTAATTATATTAAAAAGTCCCACCAGGATGGCCAGCAAGGAATAGGTCAATGCTTTTATGATTGTATTCCACAATTCCATGTCACCTCATGGGCCCAACAATGCCATTTTTAAAAATTTAATTTGGGTGCTTGTGTGAATGCGCTTGCCTTAAGCAGTTCTGTCTTATTTTAAATTGTCAAGCTGAGATTGAAAATCAATTGAGGGAAGAGATGAATATTGCATCCTGCTATGCAGAATCTGTAAGAATGATATTTCTGAATCTACATTACTCTTCCTTTAGCATTTTCAACAGCTCAGTTGCCCTTTCCTATCCAATATGACCTAATATTAGAAAGCAAAACCAAGGCTATAAGCATCCTTGCTAGGTGGCAAAATGATAGGCATTTGTGAAGCTTTGTCATAATTTAATACTGATCCATAAAAATCTTAATGTTTTAGGGGGTTGACCTCTCTTGCCAAATGTCAGTGAAGCAACCAACCAATCAAACACAAGAATCCTATGTTTATGATCGCAATTTAAAATGTGAATCTGTATCCTGATGTGAACATTTTGTTTGTTGTGTCAGAAGAAAGGGAGTACTATTCTTTGTTAATATAGGTGACTCTTTGTGGCTTTTTTTCTAGGCTGAGAAGTTTAATAGTTTTGGGATGTTGATTACAGAACTCTCATTTCTCCCCTAAGTAACTGCTTTGCCTTTAACAGAGTTGTCTGCAACATCCATGTCATTTTTGCTCCAAGTGCTATCCATTTTGTATGTGTATTGTGACATCACACACACCTACAAAAGGGTTGTAGCTTTCAGTGCAAAAATGATGCTAATTTCATCAGATTAAAGAAGAATTTTCTTCTGCAGGGAGAGCTATTTCCATGTTTGAAGTACATAATTAGCTATTGCAAGAAAAGCTTCTCTCTTTGTTTCTTTGGGTGATAGAATATGGGTTTGTGGAAATAATGGTAATATTGGACTGGCTTTGTCTTTCCTGATAAACATATCCCTATTAAGAAAGACTTGCCTTTTGCTGGGATATCCATTAATGAAATCGACCCATTGTGGCTGTAATTATTTACTGTATTTCACAACAAGCAGCATGTTTTCAATTGAATTTATATAGAAGTTTTTTCTTCAAAGCTGCACACTACATTAAACTATAGATGGCCATAGACTGGCCAATTGAATCATTCACATTTTAGCTTAATAAACTCAGCATCAAAAATCTATCATTTTTTTCAGATTTAAGTTCAGTTTAGCCTGCCTCTGTATTAATCTGAGTTTTAAAAGATGATTTCATAAAAACATACATATTTTTCAGCATATACATATTTTTCTTTTAATAGTCACATTTTGTATGCAGTTTAGCCAGTGTTCATAATGTCTATATATTCCTTTTACTCATAGATGGCAATGTGTGTGCATTTTCTATGAATGTTCATCTTTTTGAAAGTTACCTTTAGTTCTCCCGTCTCCTGCTGAGTTAGAATAGAGAATAGAATAGAGCTGGAAGGGACCTTGGAGGTCTTCTAGTTCAGCCCCCCTACTTAAGCAGGAGAACCTATAGCATTTCAGATAAGTGATTGTCTAGCCTCTTCTTAAAAACTTCCAGTGATGGAGCGCCCACGATTTCTGAAGGCAAACTATTCCACTGGTTAATTGACCTCACTGTTAGGAAGTTTCTCCTTAATTCCAGGTTGCTTCTCTCCTTAATTAGTTTACAACTATTGTTTCTTGTCCTGCCCTCTAGTGCTTTGGAGAATGTGACCCCCTCTTCTTTGTGGCAGCCCCTCAAATACTGGAATACTGCTATCATGCCACCCCTATTTCTTCTTTTCTTTAGACTAGCCAAACCAAAGTCCTGCAGCCGTTCTTTGTGTATTTTAGTCTCCAGGCCTTTGATCATTTTAGTTGCTCTTTTCTGAACTTTTTCCAAAGTCTCAACATCTTTTTTGGGATATGGTGACCAAAATTGGCTGCAGTATTCCAGGTGTGGTCTTACTAGGGTTTTATAAAGTGGTACTAATACTTCGCGTGGTTTTGATTCGATGCCTCTGTTTATACAACCCAGGATTGTATTAGCTTTTTTGGCCGCTGCTGCACATTGCTGGCTCATAGTCAAGTGGTCGTCCACTAGGACTCCAAGGTCCCTCTCATTGTTAATGTTTTGAGCTAATTAATCATAGCATGCAGGCAGCAGGAAGTGACTGTTCTCACAATAAGAAAACACACACACACAATCCTGAAATACTTTATAATGTTCTGAAACCAATTTAAGGAACATGTTAGCAAGATTAAATAATGGCTTCTTGGTTTGGACATAAAGAAAATTCAGGACAATCTTTACTTGCAGTATGGAAAGTAGAGGAACACAGAATTAAGAATGTGCAAAGCTGCATATTAAAAAGAAAAAAATGTTTTGCAATGTGTGGGGATTCTCTACTTGTCTTGGCTTACTAAACTGTGCTTTGCACATCTGAATCAGAAAATATATGGCTAATGTTCAAGCTTTAAAAAAAAAAAATCTCCCAAAAATAGTAGAAGAGCTTTCATCCCTCCAAAGACTTTCTTTTGTAAAACACATTCATGAAAATGACCTGCTTGGAAGGGCATCAAATTACACATTTGCATAACTCAATTTTCTGAACCTTTTTCATGAATTTTAAAAAAAGTGAGATATAAAAGTCAGCAGAGAATAGAAAAACGAGCAGGAAAAGAAAACCTGTAATAAAGGCCCACTACGAATTTGCAGAGACTAAGCCTACCAGAAATACCCCTACTAAAAATTCATGAGTTTGCTCAGATACAATTAGTGAATATCATTACTATCCAATAAAAACATAAGCGGAATTTAAAATCAAAACAGCAAATGATAACTTACAGAAAGAGGTTTTTTTACATGGAGTTGGTGATACTTTTTAAACAAGCAGTTCTATGAATGGAATATATGTGCCAACAAACAGATAGCTATTAATTCTATTGCAAGGTATTTGGCCTTTTTTTCAGGTGTTTCATTATAGTTTGAAACATGTAGGAGAGTTTATAATTATTCTTAGAATATCTATCCTGACCCATTTTATGTTGAAACTGCCAACAGAGGTATTATGTGTTACAACCAGTAGGTTTAAAATACTGTATTTATTGCTTTAACACAATTCTCACTTGGGATTATCCTATGAACTAGGCCTACAATATATATCAGTAGTCACATTAGAGTAAAAAAAATATGTTCTAGGATTTAGTTTGTTTGAGACTTTATAAAGCTGAGCCTCTGGGTCTTTTGTTTTTTAAAAAAATAGTCCTTTCAAATGGATTGAGCAAGAAAGTGGATTTAATTGCTTTTGTGTGTAATGCTAAACCAGTGGTAGATAATTTTCTTATCCAATGGACACAGACTGAATTGTGAGAACATACTGTGGATTTTCTACAAATGGCTGCCCTGATGGACATGGCCAATCACAAAACATTAATTCATCTAAATATAACCATACCTATTTCTGAAATGTCAGGAAATATTCACTGTAGGGTTACCATACTTGTATGACAAAAATCTAGCTAACCATTAGATGGCACCAAAATTAACTTTTTGTTATCTTTTTGCTGCCATCTATTGGCTGTCCAAACTTTTTCAGCCTAAATACAGGAGTCCTTCAATGTAAATAGTCTATGGCAGCCCTTTCTGCTGTCTGCTACAATTTAAGCTTTGACATGCTGGTGTCAAAGAATACCAATATCTTACCTGAAGGGATAGGCAAAAGCTATGTCAATGCTGCGGTCGCTCTGTGTCCTGTTTGCGCAGTCCACGCTGAGCCGCAATCCTCCAGAATAGCCACCACATGTTGCAAATGCAAAGACTGCAAAAAGCTGTGAAAAGATAATGATTCACCAAAGAGAATTCAGCACTTGTACATAGTTATGACAACAGAAGCAACAATTACTCTCAGAGGAGGAAGTGGACAGCTTCTTAAGGGGAGTAAGAGAAAATTGTTTTCAGTAATAAGGAGCACCTTTGATTATTATTTCTAGTTTCTTTGAAGTGACAAGCAAGAATGTGAAATTCTAATAAGATCTGGCTCAGATTGGCCAGAGGCAGAAATTACCCCAAAAGTTGCACTTTAATAAACTGCAAATTCATTTTAATGTAAAAAAAACTATACCTCCTGAATATTCAATTGGTCATTAACAGGATCATGCTAAGAATATTATGTGATGCTGTGAACACAGTCCATATATAGTTGCTAGGCATGCTCTCTAGATACTTGACTTAAATTATGCTAGCCAATTGAAGAACACATTCCAAACCCATTATGTTTGAATTGTATATAAAGTGATTTCTCCCTTTTCTAAGGGTCCTTCCACCTTGTAAAGCCTATCCTTTACTTATGCATAGGTAGATATTAAGCTACTTTCAAAGGGGACACCAGGCTAAAGGACCTTATTGTTGTTTACAGCTAGTGTTCTTACTATAGTTTAGACTTACTTTTTTTGCTATCATTTAGCTTATGCCAATTTTATATCAGATGATTATGATTTGGTCTTGCAGATCAGTTTGAGATTTCCAATTTGCAGTTTCATCGCATCTGGAGGTGTCAAATTGGATTAATGTCAATTACTGTCTTACATTACCAGTAATTGGGAACAGGAGCTTGCATGTAATAATAATGCTAAAACAGATTTAATGGCAGAAAGATACTTCTGTATTTTTTAGTTATATAATCTTTTCTGAAGGTTTATGCTAGTTAACAAAAGCTCCCCCCCCCCAAAAAAAGCCCAGGAAGCTGATTTTGTCAAATTATTTACTTTGCTAGTTTCAGCCTTCATTTAGTGTACCTGCTGGTCTTCGTGGCTAAATCTCATTAAACTCCCTTCTTAAGCATGTTAACTCCTGTAATATTGCATACTGTTTTTTTTTTAAAGTATCAAATGCCATATATGGGAAATTAGACACCATGGATATTTGTTTTTAATCAGGAGATAGGAGATATGTTTTTACAAACTACTTCAGAGTGAGTCATTTAATATTGCAGTAAACTAGGAAAAGTAATTTTGTTATACACTATTAGTATCATTACTTTAAAAAAGGAATGCAGAATATTATTTCAAATCAAATAAAATTGCCTGTTCACACAAACCACTTTCTAAAACAAATTCTGTTAATGAATTTATCTACGATCATCTTTCTGAAAGCAATTCTAAGGTTTATAGCACATTCTATATACAATTGTTCGGAAATTCTGTTTTGTGTCTAAAAATGGAATACAACCATTAACCAGCAGAAACAGAGTCATAATTAGATTTATTTATTAATATATTGTTATGTTGTTTTATTTTACTAGGAATCCTAATGTATTTTCCTTTCTTGAAATATTTCCTTTATTACAGATTGAGTCTGCCAGCAGCAGAAACTCAATTTTTCATTTATAAAATGGAAGTCAATTGGGCCCTTCTAAATGTGCTCAATAAATACTTTTCGATTTCCCAATCATCTTCACTATAGTTAAGGCCAAATGGTTATCAAATATGAGAATAAAATCCAACATGTCTAGAGGGCTCCATTTTCAGGAAACGTGGCCTATTCTCTTGTAATGACCCAAAGAGATAAAGAAATAAATATTATGAAGCAAACAAGGGCAGATCACAGAGACTGGATTCTTCTTCTTTCTTTTTTCTTTTTTCTTATTTTTTTACTTATTTTACTTATGACCACAGTGGAGCCCAAAATTTCCCTTGCTAAGCAAGGCAGTTGTTAGGTTTTGCCCCATTTTACAACCTTTCTTGCCACAGGTGTTAAGTGAATCACTGCAGTTGTTAAGTTAGCAACACGGTTGTTATGTCAATCTCCTTGATTTTGCTTGTGAGGCACAAAAGGTCACCACATGAGCCCTGGGCACTGAAACTATTATAAAAATGCAAGTAAGTGTGAACAGTGGCCATAAGTCACTTTTTTCAATGCCATTGTAACTTTGAACAGACACTTAATGAATAGTTGTAAATGGAGGACTACCTGTATTTGAATGGAAAACACATTAGATAGCCTGATAAGTCTTTCAATATATGGTCACTATGGAAATACTGGTTTTATATTGACATTTTCATTCTGTGTAAGGCATGACATGGGGTGACACATTCTTTAATTATATGTTTTGTCCATATATCTGAATACCATATCAATTTCATATGCTCAGCAAGCAGCCTCCTCACTTCTTTCCCCCACTACATGGAAACTTATAGTATTCATAAATGCCACCTTCCTTCCTTCCTTCCTTCCTTCCTTCCTTCCTTCCTTCCTTCCTTCCTTCCTTCCTTCCTTCCTTCCTTCCTTCTTTCCTCCCTCCCTCCCTCCCTCCCTCCCATTACTGCTACATTTTACCCTGATTATAGTAAAAAAAATGAGGCAGGGATAGTTACGCTTGGCAAGCAAATACCTTTTTTTCTCTATAAATAGGATTTATTTACTCATATCCCGCCATTATTATTTTACAAATAAACAAACCTTCCTCCTCCTATTTTCCGCACAACAAAATTCCCCGTGAAGTGGGTTGAGAGAGAGTGAGAGGCCCAAGGTCATCCAGCTGGCTTTCATGGCTAAGGTGGGACTTGAACTCACAGCCACTTGCTTTCAAGCCTGGTGACTTAAACCACTAGACCAAACTAGCTCTCCACTATTGCTACTGTTTTCCTCCCATGGTCTAAAGGGATAGTCATAGTTAATTGAGAAAAAGGAAGGGCTTTGCTTTAATTGTCAGGAACAATATAGCGAAGATAGTACTTTGATACTTTTCAATCAATTAGACCTTGTGAACCACTCTTTAATATGACAGACACACAGGTTTTGATGGACACAACATGCAAACAATGTGTGCTTCCTGTGGCTGGAGACAAGAACATTAGAAATATGTAAAAGTAGAACAAAGTTGGATTATACTGTATAGCCTAGAAAAAGAAGTAGAAGAACGATCTATCTGACTGCCATTTCAATAACCATCTTCAAACCACCAAAATGATATTCTGATAAATGGTCATTACTAGATGGAATATATAGAAATCAAATTAGATAGATAGATAACCTTTATTGTCATTTTTTACTGCGGGCACAATGGCACACATTAAAAATGAAATTTAGTTCTTGCTCTCTAAGTATACACATACATAACATACATTTAAACATGGGTGTACCTACACCCTTACCTATAAATACATATAAATATTAAACATTATCCATCTTGAATACATAACAGAAGGAGGAAACTTGAGAGTTCACAAGATTAATACTATACAGAACAAAACTGTGACTGAATCTGAATGTTCTGCTTCAGATACCATGAAGTCTCCTCCCAGAAGGTAACAAAGAAAACAGGTTGTGAAGAGGATGTGTACTGTCCCAGACAATCTTGTGGACCCTGCTCAAGCAACACATATATGCTATGTCTTGGATGGAAAGGAAGGAACTGCCAATGATCTTTTCAGCCATCCTCACCACTCTCTGCACCGCCTTTTTGCCTGAAGCAGTGATACTTCCAAACCAGACTGTAATGCTGTATGACAGGATGCTCTTGATCGTCCTTCCGTAGAAAGTGGTAAGGACAGGGGAAGGAAGATGTGCTTTTCTCATGCAACTAAATTGACTATATTATTGATGCAACAAGATGGAAGAGCTCATTTATAACAGCAAAGATGGGGCCAAGGGCTGACTGTAAATCAAATCATGAACTGCTAATGTGCAAATTCCAAATCAGGATAAAACAGAAGAAGAAAGCCAACTACTTTCCATGATATGACCTTCAGCATATACCCACCATTTTAAGGAAAAGCATCAGGAATCACTTTGAAATTCTGAACCATGTGGATAATGTACCAGAGGAAACATGGGATGAAATCAAAAAGATGCTAAAGATGAAACAAAAAAGATCCAAATAGCATAAACTAAACTGGGTGTAAAAACAAATGGTAGAAATTGTCAAGAAGAAAAGAGAAGCCAAAACCAAGAAAAATAAATACCTCAAGAAGGAACATAACAAAGAATCTCAGAGATTTGTTGCAGACGTAGGGACTAATCCATCCTTTGCCATGAACCTGAATAACAGTTCAAGAAACAGAAATCCAAATTCTGTGACTGAAAGAGAATGATAAGAAAGACCTTTTCCTATGCAAGAGAGAAATAACTTGAAAAAAGAAAGATGGCAGATTTCCAAGTTCCTGTAAAAATAGTTACAAGCAGTATTACATTGCAAAGACATTGAAGATAGAAGCAGAAACAGAAAAATAAGAAAAAACGTCCAAACAAAATCTCCAAACTCAGAAGGAGCTTCCAACTTCAAATTGGTATGTTAAAGGATGTCAATGGACAGACAGTAGTAATTGATTCAAACTAAGATGGAAGGCATCTATTGAAATTCTAGGCAATAGAGGTGTCATAATCCTCATTTAGAGACAGAGGCAACAAAGTGTCTTCTTTGGCACGTAGAACTACAAGAATCACTGCACTCTCAATCAAAATAATGCAAAAGAGCAAACAAAATTAGCAAGGTTATGGATTATATAACTCCAGAAATGTTACATAAGAATGATAAAAGAAAACCATTAAATAATACTCTAATTTTGCAGCCAGAATATAACATCTGATATGTGTTGCTCTTACTAGGGCTACCTCAGCACTTTAATATTCTTTTCTATTAATGGGACTATAATCTACCCTGATTAAGTATACTAACACCATCTAATCCACCCTAACTAGATATACCTGTACTAATGGCAGGTAGATAGCCTCAATTGCAGCAGTAATGTGTGCCCTATTGGAAGACTTGAAAGACAGGTTGGGGACAGATAATCCTGGAGAAAATTTGTGTCCTTCCTAAGAGTCAACA